ACTGCTAAATTAGGGATGGCTAGTGCAAATAACCCCTGTGTAACTTTGCACAAAATTCAAAAAACAAATAAACCCTTTGACATAGCGTAAGTCCCTTTTATATTCATTGGCATATTGAAGGTCTCACTCCCAGTATTCATTGCCTTGGACTGGTTTTTCCATTTTTTTGGATGATTAATTTTTGTTGACCCATTCTCTGTTGGTTTTCTCTTCTCTTGCCTGTCTTATTTTATTGGAGGCTTCTTGGTTGGGAGGGCTTTTCATGAGATTTAGGTATTTTCTCTCCTATCTTCTATCTGCCTCTCTCCTCTTTAATCATTTAGACCCAGTTCAACTCCTGAGTGAGTGTTCCTTCTCAGGGACCTCTCCATTGTCTCTCCCTACCTTGGGATCCCTTTTTTTTCTGGGGTCCTCTTTCCTTTGACCCTTACTGGTTGGTTCTGTTGATTCCTCCTGTTATGTTTATTTATGGATGTGGATGCTTGCAGGCTAATTCACATTTCTTTGCATTTGATTTGTCACTTTTCTCATTCTTTTGCATCTTTATCAGCTGTAAGATGAAAGCCTACACACATTTGTCTCTTCTTATCTACACCATCTGGCTGTTTTGTCTCCTGATGAATTTTGACTTCTGCCAGTTGCCATTCTTCAGTCATCCCCAACCATCTTTGAGAAGAAGATGTACAATTTCTTTTTCAGAGGCCCTTTTTAATTTCACAGGTTACTACCAGGTGGTTGGTGTTTTCTCTCAGAGTATACTTACCCAAAATCTGCTTTGAGCTGGGATAATGGAAAGCTCTAAAATCATTTGCTATGGTTCTACTGGTGCCTACTGTTGAGATGGAATGTTCAGCAAAACCACCTAAGGTATCCTCATGATATTTATTCAGTTGTTCAATCCAGATCGGATACCTATTCCATGGACTATTATGGAAAATGCCAACACCAGGGAAATGTTCTGCCAACTTCTTTGGCTTACACTTGCTGGCTTTTAAAAATAGGTTTTTGCAGTCATCCAATGTACTATCTCGAGTAAAAGACCTTTCTGGCTGGAGGTCAGTTGAGGATCCAGGCACTTCTTTGGGTTTCCCCAACATGAATCCTTCCCCTTTCTTCTTTGTGTGAAGCACAGGAGACCCTTGCCACTTATCGGTTCCTAGCCACTGGGGTGGTGGGCCATGAAGAATCCTCCCAAGTTGAACATAGCACAATACAGTGAGAAGTGGGGCAGTGGTGACACTTTCAGTGTAGTGCAGATCATCCTTCAAAACTATACTGCATAACAAAAGTGCCCTCTTCCTGCAGCTGGATCTGTCTCATAGAGTCTGTTCAATGGAGTCAAGGTAAGCACACACCGTACAAAAACATAATACATATTCTAATGTGCCCTCCACCTGCAGCCAGAGAGCCTGTTCAGTTGAGTAGAGGTGAGCCAAATTTTCAGAAAAGATAATCCACCAGCACAGTTCACATTAAAATGCATGAAATTAGGTGGGAGTTGCCTTTAGTGGTATGATGATGTTATTATGCACCAGCACTATTCACATTAAAACACGTGAAATTAGATGGGAGTTGTCTTTAGTGGTATGATGATGTTATTATGCACCAGCACTATTCACATTAAAACATGTGAAATTAGGTGGGAGTTGTCTTTGGTGGTATGATGATGTTATTATGCACCAGCACATTTCACATTAAAAGGTGTGAAATTACGTGGGAGTTTCCTTTAGTGGTATGATGATGATGTTATGCACCAGCGCAGTTCACATTAAAACTCGTGAAATTAAGTGGGAGTTTCCTTAAGACTAGTGGCATGCAAGTCTTATAGGTAGATACGCATGACGAAAATAGCTTTTCTGTGTGTGTGTGGGTGGGGGGGGTGACCATCCATTGGAAATACATTTTCAGATTAGGAAAATGTTAACTTTAAAAGTAAAACAAAAAAAGGAATTATATTTATCACCTTAACTGTAAACTCAATTCACAAGATTGGCCTGGTGTATACATGCTAAAAGTGTTTTGTTTTTTAATTAGACTACTTGAGTAGGCTGTAGCTTATTTAGCAGAATAAAAAAAACATTTTAACATTTGAGTGTTTCTTTTGTATTTATATTTAACTTTGCATAGTATACCTCTGTCATGATTCAGTAACAAGATTTTTCCTTTGGAGTCTTACATGAATGTATGTGACTTGTTTATTTTTATAGCCCAAAGATTCTCATTGCACATTTTTAGGAAAATAATATTGGAGATTTATCTAGAATATCACATTCTTATATTTCTTCTGATAAAAACAAAAACCAGAAGAACAAATAACTAGTTGTTTTAATTATTTTCTTTATTATTTATAGCTTACAGGAACTCTAATATATTACTCTTTACGTTTTTTTTACAAATATTATTGGCACTATGAACACATTTGTTAAAACACTACATTAAGTGCTAGGAAATATTCAAGTTATTTGGTGAATAACCTGAAATATAAAAAATATGACTGAATACTTGTATTTCAATGTCAAAATATAATGGAAAATTAAAAGAAAAAATGATCCAGACATTGCACTGTTTCACCCATGGCAGTTAATTGATGCAACCTCCCCTCCCAAAGGCCATAAATGCAGTAAAGAGTAGTATGAAATACTGCGTGTTAGCTAACTTGTTCAATAAATTAACAAATATCCATAATTGTGTTGATCATACTAAGATTATGGACTATTATATAATCTAAAGAATACTAAAATTTGCTGACTGAGTTTGGTTCAAATCTTTGTAACAGATTTAACACCATTTACGTCAGTTGCTCAAAAAGAATTAACTCCAAAGTTAATATTACTAGTGTTGTTTCAGTTTAACTGTACATGTATATATAAACTAGTGCTTTCTTTTCAAATTTCAAAATATAGATTTATTCACAAGTTACAAAACATGTTATTGTTTGTCCTTTCAAGCAAGATAAACTGCAACATGTTACATCTTAATATGTGTATTGCAACATTTAGGAAATATTACGAATGCGCACAATGTATTGCAATACTATTATCCACATACTTCTCATTATGATTATTAGAATAAGAATGTTACAAATCTTAAAGGTTATCAACAATATGTCCAGAGTATTTAGTCAAAAGGGATATTTATTCTCTCATAAAGGGTGATGCAGGCTTAACTGGAAGAAAGATTATTGTTGACACTTATGGTGGTTGGGGAGCTCATGGAGGTGGAGCTTTTTCTGGTAAAGATCCAACAAAAGTAGATCGATCTGCTGCTTATGCTGCTCGCTGGGTGGCAAAATCTTTAGTTAAAGCAAGGCTCTGCAGAAGGTGTCTTGTTCAGGTAATTGAGTATGTTTCTCATACATGTACAATATGAGCTGTTTGTAATGCTATAACTTCTGTTTAATTGAGGAGAGTAATGTTGAAGGTTATGCTTCCATTTACCTCAATAACATGTTAAAAAGTTGTACAATTTGTTTTATTGCAATATGGATTGCTTACAAAAGTGATATATATATATATATATTTATATGATGCTATTCAGTAGTATAATAAAAATCAGTGGTTTAAGGATTATGCAGTGCCACATCCTCCTTCTTGGTTTACTTTTCTTAACTCCTATTAATCATATTGGCATTCAGTTGAAATTGTTACAGCTGTAGTTGCAATTTTTAAAATTAACAGCCCTGATATGATCCAATCTAAAATAAATTATTTAGGGACACTGTAAATGTCTTAGGGCCTTTAAATCTGAAGTAAAAGATCTCAAGATTGTAATATTTCTTATTATTTAGATTTCGTATGCCATTGGTATTGCTGAACCCTTATCTATCACTCTGTTTTCTTATGGAACATCTAACAAAACTCAAAAAGAACTGTTGGAGATTGTGAAGAAAAACTTTGATCTTAGGCCAGGATGCATCATGAGGTAAATCTTTAGCTGTCAAATTGATAATTTGTTTTTTTACTTTCAATTTTGGCAGAGTCAACAAATTGCACCATATTAAGTAATTTTATATTTCTGCCTGTTGCAACACTTATTGTAAAGAGCTGACCAAAGAAATTGGGTGAAATCCTCATTTTTCTGTGTAAAATACCTAGGGGATCATAACATTAATTAGTGGGATTAAGTGCAATGTTAATGGCATGTTTTCATGTACAGTGGAAGGAGGATATGTAAAAACTTTGTTAGGATTTTTGGTAAGAGATTAACTTCCCCATTCTTTGCAGAAGCTTGTTGCAGTGGGAATTGTGGTGTCAAGTAATACTGTATAACTCTGATAATCAGATTGAGTATGCTTCATGATGGAAGTAGTAGTGACAAGGGTAACATGGATCTGAAATATTGTTCATATAAAGTGTGATTAACCCTCAATAAATGTATGAAATATTTGTATACTGTATTAAAGTAACAACAATTAGAATTAAATAATTCAAAATTTTGCAATCTAAAGTACAGTAATACAATTGTTATATTTCTGGGCTTTCCATAAATCATGATAAAATGAACAGTACTGTTGAGGTTTTCTTTAAAAAATTGTGTATTGTTTTCATAGAAATGAAGTTTCCCCCCAAACTGAGGTTATTCATATTTTATAATTGTGAGTACAGTATTTAAATAGGCCTCACTCAATCTGTATCCATGTAATTTCATAAGTAAGTTAAGACAGTTGTAGTACTTGAGTAATAGTATGCATCTGACCATCCATCTGGCTGTAGCATGTAATGAAATAGAGCCAGTAGTTATTCTGTCTGTCAGGTTTTCATGTTTTTAAACTCTTCAACTATTTCACTCTAACTTTGCATAAATTGCATTATATTCAAGCTGTCAACATGCATGCACTAAAATAGAAAACTGTATATAAATATGCAAATGACATCTAAGTTAAATTGAAATGGTGTTTGAAAACATTACATCTAAAAATGAAATTTACAAAGATTGGTTCTCATGTTATTCTACAATCAGAATTGAAGGATAAATTATTGTAGTTGCATGCATTCAGTACTGCTCAGCTTATTAAAAGCCATAAGATTCATGATAATGTAAAGTTCTTACAGACTAGTAGTTGATAACGAAATAACTGGCAGATCATGTTTGAACAAAGAAAACTGAAAGTGATGTAAGCTGATACACTGTAGAGTTGTTTCTGTATATTTAATATAGTAGCATTGTGAAAGTTAAATCTTAGACTAGGGTGTATTCCTAATAATTTACACATTTATTAATGAATTTGAAAGGTTTGTTTGATCTGTGTACTGCATGTTTTAAAAACAAATGTATCCCAAAAGTCTTAATTTGTTGCAAGAAGAACAAATCTTCCATATATTTTAAATAAAAGCTCAGAAACACAGCTTTTGGAGTGTATTATATTATTTTTTGAACTCTATAACTGTTTTGACCACTTATGTGGTCATCATCAGGTAAACATCTTGTATGAGCATCTTGTTCCAATTTCAAAAACATATAGGGTGACAACTATGTTTTGATTTAAATTAGAATTTAGTTCACGAATAATTAAAGATTCTTTTATTTTTCTTCTGTTAATGATGTCCTCATTACTTAATATTTTAAAGCTGCTAATATTGATTGGATGTTGATTTTTTTGTGCTGTGTTTGTAAGCATGTGATGGGAGTTTATGTTCTTTGATCCGAATATTTATGTTGCACCCTGTTTCGCTATACAAATGTTGTTGCATTGATAGTTATAGATGCTTCCATCGTTGAAATTTTCAAAATAAACCTTTCTTACTTAAAGACTTTTTGTTTTTTAGTACTTGGCTTTTGAATTAAAAATAATATTAATGTATATATTTTTTTTTGATACTTGTTTCTAAATATTTATGATGTTTTGGGTTACACAACTATGGTATGGTAGGGAGTTTGTGTCTGAGTTTATGCATTTTGTTTCATTTTTGGAGTTGATGATGTTTTCCTTTTTTTTTCTGTAATCAGGTGTCATCCTATATGTTTTCTAAATTAGAACAAAATGCTCTTGCAGATTTCTAATATTTCATACAATAGATGGCAGTTACCAGATGATGGTGATGACACAAGTTGTCAAAATGTTGTTATAAAGTTCATAAAATAAAATAATCCACTCAAAAAGATGTGTCTCTGGACAGTAAAAGTAAATAAATAAAAGATTCTGATTGCATATTCATTTTTAACATTAAGAAACAATCATGAAAGAAATGAATGAACTTGGTATCCTTAAATAGTGGAATTATCCTTCGTAAACAGCTGTTTAAAAATAGATGTTATAAGCTTTACAAAAGTTTTCACGGAAGAAACCCAAAACTTCTGATGGTAGAAAAGAAAAACCAGAATTTTTTGAGATAAAATGAGTAATTGTCAGTTTATATAACAAAGAGGAACTTGATATTGCTAAATGTAAGTCACCTGAACAGTGTCACAAACTTCAATCAAATGGACTGATGCTTCAGTTTTATAACAACAAAGTATCTGAGAGTGATTATATATACATATAATATGGCATGATGTGTATTGAAGAACTTCTTGCATCAATTAAATTTCATATTGATGAAACCAATATTTCAAATGTTAATCATGTGGATATCTGGTGCCTTACAGGAAGTAGAAGAGTTCTTTATTGATATTATCAATGACCTTCAGGCTGTGTACTGTTTTATTGATTCCTCATATTTTGCTTTTCCTAACTACACATCAAATGGTGCAGTTTGTTTACCACAGACATACTTGGTTTCCACCAGAAGAGTTTAATTTTTGTAATGGTTAAACTCGAGCAACCTATCTTATTTCAATACTTTATACATTTAATTGAAATCTTCTGTAGCCACTTGGAGGAAAGATCCATACAAGTTGGAATTCACAGCTATTCACACTGAGTATTAAGTTACTGTTTGACAAAAGTCCCCAAGCATGATGAGAGCCTTTGTCCTGTTCCACAATTATATGAAGTTTTTTGTTTTGTTCAAAGTCATCTTCTAACACTAAAGACTAATAGAATTAGTTAAGAAAAGCTACCATACTTTAAAGTTTCTGGAAAACATTATAAACCAATTGGTCTAAAATTGGCAATAAAAAATCACTCTAGATTGCACATTTTTTTTCCACCTTTCTCTCAATACTTCTATTACAAATTTCAGAAGTGTGTATCAGCAGTAACATATTTTGTATCACAAATATTAATCTTTGTACTGTTATTATACAGTTTCAAGTTTCAGTTCATTGAACCACATTAATTATCGATCTCAAGAATGGAATCATACTCCCCCTAAAAAAAAAACGTTAGTATCAAGAAAACTGATCTTTCAACCAGGAAACATAATCACACATTTCCTAATCTTTCAGTTACTGTTTTAAGCCCTTAAAGCATTTTTTATACAATATACAGCTTTCCCAGCTTATATCTGGTGTTCCAAATGTACTGTGTACTTATAAACAACCATGATAGAGATCAGGTAAGATAGTTAGAAGCAAAGATGTCATTGAATAGCAAAAACAAAGTTTGTAGTTATGAGATACATACAGGTACATATGAGATACATATAGGTACAAGTAATGAACATTATAAATGCTTAACATATCAAGAAAAGTTTTTACCCCTGATATATAATAATTTGTTATTCCATAGTTTAAAAAAATATATATAACCTTCCAAAATTTAAAGATTTGCTTAAGACATTTACCGGTGTTAGTGAATATAAATGTAATTGCAAATTTATTTGGTAAGTGTTTTTGTTCCATATGCATAAAAACTGTAACCAGTACTTGTAATTCTATATAGACAACACATAAGTATTACTATAACAAATTAAAAATGAGTTTTACATAGCAGTTTGTGTAATAACATTGTTATTATATTTGGTTCTTTTTTATTAATTGCCTCTATGAAAAATTTTCATAGTTATTTCTTTTTTTTTAAAGGAGTTAATTAGTCTTTGTTGAAAAAGTGTTTTTGATAAGTTACATAAAAATGAGTTGTTTATAAGTCATTACTTGTGCATTCATTAGAATCCTATCAAGGTACCTTTGTCTCTAACATAGTTTAGTGTTAAGATTTTTCTTTTAGCAATATTGTTATCTGTGACACATTTTAATGCATGTTTTTTAGTATGTTGCTTTAATTTGAAATAATTGCCAGTTACTTCTGATCAAAACCAGTTGTCTTGTATGAAAGGTATTTGTGGGGGTGAGTCCATGTTAAGTTTCAGTAAGAAAAGTAAAATGTATCTATTAATGCCTTAAAGAGCTTTTAACATGTTACCAGAAAATGCATTAATTTATTTAAGACTGATCAAACCTGAAACCAAATATTTTTAAATTCTCTTCTGGGATTACTCAAATGTGGTAAATAACCAAAGGGATTCTTTGATCCATGAGTTACCTCCATTGAGAGCTAATCCTACCCAAGATAATTTTTCACTTCTTCAGAGAATTTACAACTTTTCAGAGTAGTTAAATACTCTTAAAAAACACCTTAAACCTGTGCTTTCTATCAACAACTGGCAGTGAATTTATGAATTTTACAAGCCTAATTGCATAGTTAAATTCTGTCCTGAATAATCAAGTAAAAGCTGAGACTTGCATTTGAGGTGTAGTAGCACAATTGATTATGGTATGTGTTTAGTGAGTGGAGTCAGGAGCTTTATTACCTGATCTTGTTTTTACTACTCCTGAAAATTTCCACATTTGCAGGACAGTGAGTGTCACCTGTAAACATCCCAATGAGAACCACACCAAATTTAAAAAGTATTAAAACAACTGCTGAAAGTGATTTGAGCATTTGTAGCACTTATTTCTTTATCAGTGAAATGGTGTGGACAGATTTTTGGGTGTTTAAAATATAAATTTTATTTCTAGAAAAATTTTCATTTATTTTTCCATTGTATAATGCATAATTTACATCAGATGTAAAAACAAATGTAAATGAGGGAGATTAGCATAACATTTGGAAAGAGTTTGTGATATGTTTAATATTCATAATTTAAGACTTAGATCAGTTTACCATTATAGAATTAGTTTTTAACAACATCTTGACACTCTTGGTTGTTATCAGGTAGTTCAAGTCTTTGAAAGAACTTGTACTTAACATTACTGATATAATAGTTTTGATAAATCAATTATTTAGTACTTTTTAAATAGAGTATATCATTTAACTGAATAATTCTATATTATGTGTAGATATTCTACCCCCCCCCCCAAAAAAAAGGAAGAATAGACTTAAGATAAAACCATAAAAGGGATAGCTAAAGAAAAACATTAAGCCAGTGTGAAAAATAAACCACTTTAAATGTGCTTCTTTCCTTTTTGTAAATGTTATCTTTATTATAATGAACTTTCTCTGCATATTAATAAACTGTATTTTATATATATTAACATAATCCAACTATTTCTAACATTTTTTATTTGAAAATGCATTTTAATGTTCACTGCCTATTCTTGAAGCTTCTATGTCATTTAACTTTAATTGTTTAATTTTTGATTACATTTTGTAGTGACTGAATTATATCTCTCAAACTGTGTGTTCATACATGCTAGTGATATCTAATAAGTTAACCCTTTATCTTAGGTGATAAAGCACATGCCTGGTGAGCAAAAGGTCCTTGATCCAATCCTACTTATGGGAGATGCAAAAGTTGGATCACCATACAGACATGCACATATAATATATACACACACACACACAAATAAATAAACATGTTTTTTTAGTGATAATTTTGTTTTTTGCTTGTATTTATATTTCCAATTTGCATAATTTTTTCTAAAGTTTACAAGTAGAAACAATTTCAATGAAAAATCTTAATGCTATATTTTAGTCTTGTAAAATAGAACTTGTAGCATCTAATTTTGATCATTGGGTACTCCTTTCTATCATTTTAAATTATATTTGATTTATGTTAAACCTAAACCATTATACTAAACCTGAATTAAGATCATTCTTTAAAGTGTTGCAGATTATTAGCATGAACTAGTTTAAATAGATAGTCATCTTATTTAAAGGTTTGGAAATATATTTCTCTCTTAAAAACACAAGTTTTTTTTTTTTGTGTGTGCTTTAGTTCATGATGTGAATTATATATCACTTCTTTGTAATACAGGTAATGTTTTACAAGCTACCAATGCATGCAAATTCATTTTAAGAAGGCAACTTAAAGGAGATCAATATAGAATGAAACAAACCAGAATTCAGTTAGATTCTAACTTCTCTTCATGTCTTGAGATAGTTCTTAATGTGATTTATTAATGATTTAGTTTTTTTGTGTTTATTTTGAAATATGATGGATTTCATATATTTAACCATATGCTGTTGATAGATAGTAAATATTGTAAAATTACAAGCTGTTTTATTTCTTTTCTGTAGGGAGTTGAATCTCAAACGGCCAATTTACCAGAAAACCAGCACATATGGTCACTTTGGACGGTCAGAATTTCCATGGGAAGTTCCAAAAGAATTGAAGTTTTGTTGATTTATTGAATTTTCATTAATACATTTGATATAAATTAAGGAGTAAAAGTTCCCTGTGTATAAATCACGGTAAGCCTGATGTGTTACAGTTTTCCATTGTATGTTTCTTTTCTGCTTCCTTATATGTTGTTATAAATGAGAAGAAACTTTTTGTAAGTTGATCTGCATTATTACTGAAAATGTGTACTTAGGAAATGGATATTCTCCCGTGTGATTAATCTTTGTATTCACAGGAGAGTCACATTTGTCTTGTGTTCCTAAAGATTTGAATGGAAAAGAGCATTTTTATTAAATGGTTAGATTTTGACAACTGTATTCTATTTCTCTCAACTATTTATTACTGAATGGAAAAGAGCATTTTTATTAAATGGTTAGATATCGACAACTGTATTCTATTTCTCTCAACTATTTATTACTGAATGGAAAAGAGCATTTTTATTAAATGGTTAGATTTCGACAACTGTATTCTATTTCTCTCAACTATTTATTACAGGCATATTTTCTGAAATAATTTTAAGGTTTTCGGATAGTCACCCATTATGCATTTGCTTGGTGATGATTTAGAATTATAGACATAATTCATATACTTAAGTATAGTAAATGTATTTCCCTGCAATTTTTCAGAGATGAATGTTCATTATGATAAAGCCATATCCAAATACTTGGACAAAAAGTAAATAAAAGCTGCAATAAACATAGAATCTGCACATTTTCTTGTGGGTAAAATTTAAATGCACAACTTGGTAATATTTATTATTGGAAACGTTTTGAATTAGATTTTTTAGTTAATGATTGGAATGTTGATTATACGTTTGTGTGAAAGATACTGCACACTAATATAGCCAGCAATATGAATGACACCAGATTAGTAATCAGTACTAAATAAGTAAAGAAAATCATATGAAGAACAATGCTGTTTAGTTTTATTTTTGGTTGTTTGTCAGGAATTTTAAATGTTTAGGTTTTGGGATGCAAAACTTTGTGTATTTCAGCAAGCCAGGTAATGTATTTACATATGTATCAACAATGACTGCCACTTGCACTACATTAAAAAAAGCCTTGTAAATTTGTCATGGTTGTGTTGTAAAACTTTGTATACTCAAGATAAACTTGCATCTTTCAGAAATGCTTTACAATTTGAGTATTAATGTTTTGAAAATTCTAGTGATTTTTGTGAACTTAACAGTTATTTTAATTTTAATCTCTGTATGTAAGTTGGTTACTGTTTTTAGCACTTTTGAACACCAATTGTCATTGGGATTTAAAAAAAATAGTCACTTTTGTATTTATTTCTTTATTTATTTTGTAAATTATTTTAAAGTATAATGTTGCAGAAAGTTGGAAGCTGTTAAAGGTTTTGCTTCTTAATTGGCATGTATATTTCCGTAAATGTATTACTGTGTCTTTGTACATCTTTTATTTTCATTCCATTTCTGTGGATATGCTTCGTTGACAGAGACCCTATGGGACATGCACGTTTATTTGCAAAGGATGACTGGCTAATATAAGTTGAAATCTCATCTTGTAAAACAAAAATAAGTGTAGTCATATGGAAGAGATTAATTTTGTATCTCTAGTATGTGGTAAAATTTTTTTGTTTTGATAAATCTTAGTGGTGTACTTTTTACAGTGATGTTTAACATTGTACTACTTTAAATTAAAATTATTATTATGAGTATTGTTAGGTCTATGTAATAGATTTAGAAAACACATTTTCCAAACCTGCTTTGTCAATGGTGATAATTTATTCTTCATAAAATCTTGATACATGTACATCAAATGAGCCCAAACTTGATGGCAGGCAAACTAATGGTGTATCAAATTGTATATTGTGGAGATTTCACCTTTGGGTTATAAAGTTTAACAGTTAATGTGTACATATAAAACTATTGCTATTTTCTAATATTAACGATAATAGATTAGGATTACAGTTAAGTATTTTATAGTTACAAAGGTGTCATTAAGTTATAGGGAAGCAGGGAAATGAATGAAAATGGGGGGGGGGGACAGGATTCCTATACAGTAATGTTTTTCACCATTTACAAAACACAATGTGATATTTCCTTAAGCAAATTTTGTATTTTTTTTTCATTTCCATAAATGAAAAGGATTGCGTAATTTGCTACTAAACATAAGTATAATGAGCTGAGTTTCAAACTTGTATTTAAAAGCTTGTATGCTTAATTTGGCTTAGCCAATGAAGAAAGGATGTTTATGTTTTTTTTACAGTGGATCTAGCTATGTTGCTATATAGGAGTAAGGTTCTTGAAGTAGTATTTATTAAATACAGCATGTTTCTTGTTTGTGATACAAAGTAAACACTGACTAGATTCTTAACTATATTCATTCGGCATGTTTCATGTTTGTTTTTATTTGTTAACTTCATGCAATTGTTAAAAAAATCAAGAATTTGTAGACTTGACTGGGTTTAATTCTTTGACTTTCTATTCTTCATGTCAAAAATTGTACTTTTCACAAATTATTTCTTTACTTTTAAAAGGTGGTTATCTTTGTTTTTTTTAAAGCTTAAAGTTTTGATTTCAAGGGACATTTTTCTTTTCAATGTAATTTCTAAAACTAAGGTAGATTATATGGAACTTTGAGTTAATGCACTCTTTCTGAAGTGTAAATTTGTGATTTTGAAGCATTTTTTCTAACCCTTTTTTTAAGTGCCTACAAAACTTCTTCAGGTTACTGTAATTTAGAGGTGAAGTAAACTTGTGCATAGAAAAATTAGCATTAATACACATACTTTCTTAGAGGGTGGAATCTTGATAAAGAATATCTTTACTTTCTAAATTTTTATTTTTAAGAAGAAAAAATTATTATGAATGAAATCAGCCAGGTGAACTTGCACAAGCTGTTGGGAGAATTCCTAGACCTTGAATCTTTCTGTTTTTAATTCCTTACCATTTCATTTAAAGAAATAATTTTATTGTATTCTCCCTTGTAAGTAAATTAACTTTTGTTTACATGCTTCATTTTTATGTCTCATTCTCACTTTCCGTCGGCCAGAAAATAACTGCCATTCATTTTAACATAAACCTACAAACTTTTATGTTATCAGGGTGAATTGGTCAACGATGACATCATTGTTTTACCAAAGATCATATGATGAAATTTTTGAAATGCTATTTTTTTTCCCTTTTGCACTTGTGATAACAATACTTCTTTTTTTTGAAGTATTCATAGGGAGTTAAAAAAGGTATTACCATACAGAGCTATCATACATTTTCATAACATGTTTTAAAAAAGGTAAAAATAATTCTCTGTTTTTATTCCTGGTAGTGATTATACATCTCTTGGCTCTGATAAAATTTCACTGTAAAGGTTTAATTTTACTTTGGTCTTTATAGTTACATAATTTCTTTGTCACAGCAAGATTATTGTAACAATAAATATATTTAATATTTTGAAGAAATTGGATGAACCATCTAAGAAATATACCCAGATCTGTTATTTATAATATTACTGCTGTATTATTCTTAGATAATGGATTATTAACTTTAATATCCATTTATGGTAATAACCAGTATTGTTATACATGTTTAGATATTTACAACAGTACTTTTCTCATTGTTTTTCTGTTGCAATAGAGTGCCCTTTTTTCTAGTTTTGATGTGTTCTTGTGGTGTACAATCTTAATTAAAAAGAGAAATTTCCATATCTTATGGTCCCATTCTGTATTTACTAGTATTTTTGGTATTTAAGTGATTTATTTTGTATAAAAGTTTTGGGTTTACACACAGATCTAATGATTTGAAATACATTTTGCACTAAAATCATGGGTCAGATGGGTCTTGGACTGAATTTTTATACCAGGTCTATTATGATTGCTACTAAATACTAAGGTAAAAAAACAAAACAAATCTCATAAAGGGCATTTTTTTGGTCCAGATCTGAGTCTACAGTCCTTTGACAATCATGATTGTGGATTGAATAGAAAGTAACTAATGTTAAAAGTTTACTGCTGATGAAACTTTTTAAATTTCATATATTCAAATTTTTCAATAAAAATGAACACCTAAATTTCTTAAAAATAAGTGTATGATAACATCAACTGTGTCAACAAATTATGTACTTAAACCATCCCCTTTTAATTGATATCTTCTTATTGGCTGATCTTAAGGTAGCTTATGCCCTTTAAATGTCAAAAAAATACCACAGTTTATTTATTTTGTATATTTTGAATCCTTAACCCCTTTACTTTCAATGTCCAGTGCAAAAAAAGTCTTGGCTAAACTAAAAACTCTTAGAAGGTATGATAAATTAAAGGTTTTCCATTTAAATGCCTTTAAACATGTTTTTTTTCAAAATCTTAAAATTGACATTCTCATAGTGGTTTTTAACTCAAAGCTTCAGAGCTGTTGATGCTATAGACTTCACAGTTTGCATAAATATGCATTATTAGGGTATCTATAGTGTGTACTAAGATAAAGTTGATAAGAGGTTTTATTAAATGACCATTAATGAGTCACTGTAACATATGTCCTTCTTAGGGCATACTCATTAGTGCTGTAATTTGACTTTGATTGATTGTCAGTTTTCCTTAGTTTATACTAATTCTTCACATTCAGTCAAAGTCTGGACCTATTATCAGGAGCATTCAGTCATGTTTGTAGAAGTTATGAGGAACATAAGACATTACTTTTGTATTTCTTTATTTTTATAATATACAAATTAGCCACAGGGGTAATGTTACACATGTGCCAGAATATGTCTTTGTTCCTGTTTTAATGTACTCTCATACAAAAAGTATAATATGAAGATGTTTTATTTCTGATGAAAAGGCCAAAGTCTAGAAAACACTATGCTTCCTTAAGATGTAGATGAGAGCTTGCCTACATTTTTTACATAAAGAGTTAACTTTTGTGATTGAATACATTCTGATACTTCAATGTTTACTATTCAGCATATTGAGAATAATTATTTAATTTAACAAAATGTTCTGAATATATTTTGCAAATGTCACCCAAGTTATATATATACATACACACACACACACACACACACACACACACAAAGACAGGCAGGGAAGTAGTTGTGGTATGTATTTGTCCCGTGCATGTTAAAAGGTTTTGTTTAAAGCTGTAGTTGGGCTGAAATAAAATATATTACTGGAAAAATAACGTTATAAAGGTTAATATGCAACACTAATAACATTTTTTTTGGAAGACCATAGTTCACAAATGAATCAAAATTGCACCACCCTTGAACTTAGACTTCGAGATTAAACAATTTTCGAAATACTAAGTATATTTATTATATATGCTATTGTGCGGTTATATAATGTGAAGAATTGAATAGTGGCCAGTGACACTTTCTCTTCACTTCGCCTATCCAGTGTTTAGGTTTTTCTCATAGTGGCTACAAATTACGTTCATACCAACAGTATGAACTCTCGTTGGTCAACTTTTGTTCAGGGTTACTGATGAGAAGTGGAATTCTCTTAAACTAGTATGACCCAATAACACACGTTGATCAAAGTATAGATTAAACTGGACCCCCCTTGAACTTAGGCTTCGAGATGAAACAATTTTCGGAATACTAAGATTATTTATTATATCTGCTAGTGTGCGGCTATGTAATGTGAAGAACTGAATAGTGACCAATATCACTTTTTATTCACCTATCTAGTGTACAGGTTTTTCTCAGTTGACTACAAAGCATGTTCACACCAACAGTATGTATGATAGCTCTTTTTTGGCAGCATTTATAGATGTATTTTATAGGAATCTCTTACGAAAAATTTCTGAATAGCTTTTTTGTCATACCCCCGTGAGATAGCAGTAAGTCTACAAACTTGCAATGCTAAAATCCATGGTTCTATTCCCCGCAGTGAACACAGCAGATAACCTAATGTGGCTTTGCTATAAAAACAAGATTTTGTACCTATTTGTTTTAAGTTAAACGGTTGCACATGTACATCAGATAAAGTGATTCGACCCACACTTGTCAACAAATGGATGAAGGCTTTCTATCTCCCAATTATAAATAAAGAGTTAAGGAACAAAGTGTGCACTAAATAAACTTAGTTTAAATTTATAATGTAATTTGGTAGGTTTATCAAAAAAATACTGAAATTCCAAAAAATAATTTTATTTTGTCATTGTTATAATGGTGTCTTTTTGGGTAAACAAACCAAAAATTATTTCCAAACATTTGACATAATGTTTTAGAACTAGTTATCAGTAATATAAGATAAAGGGTTTGACGTTGGGTGAGATAGCAATCATGAAAAACAAGCGTAAGTTAGTTAGATTGTCAATTTAGCTCACAACCCTCACGCAGTTTTTGTCTGTATTTGAGTTTTATGGATATGTTTTGCCCCATCTTTACGACCTTATTTTTGGATTCATTCTTGTCTGAGCTTATTTCATGAAGCTATAACATAAACAAACGTTACAAATGCGGTTCACATACCTAGGGCTAGGTTAGCATGCTTGGACTATAATATGAGTGAGTTGATGGGGGGGTTACCATCAAAACATATTCTGCACTTTCTAGCCGTAGTTTTATGCCAAAAGAGTGGTCAAATGGGTTCTGTTGACTAAATGTATTTTTCTGGTCTTCCCAAGGTAGGTCAGCGGTAAGTTTACAGACTTAAAACGCTAAAACCGAGGTTTGATTTCCTGCTGTGAACAGAGTGACGATAGACTATCGTGTAGCTTTGCGATAAAACAACTTCGAGGCTACAAGTTCATAATTATAGACTGTTATGTGTGCATATTATCCTTATGTGGCTGTGTGCGAAAATTCTAATAAGCAAACTATTAAAACACTAACGCTCTGACTAAAAATATTGGGCGAAATCACCGTTTTTTGTTTGTTTGTTTGTAAATATTTGCGTGTAGTTAAGTTAATTTCTCGAGGATAAAAAAACAAACGCAGCCACAAAAACAAAACAAAAAACATCAACACTGGGTCACAAACAATACAGTTAGATTTAATTTCCTGAGGAAAAAAAATAAATGTAACCACAAAAGAAACATCCAACACTGGGTCACAAACCATAAAGTAGGTTATTATGTAATGTATCTCCTTTTGTTTTGAGGCACCGGTAGAAGTAAGTTCCAAATTGCAATGGGAAAAGGTACCCCGTCTATATGATTTAACCTCAATTTCGCCGGCCTCACGTACTTAGAAAAGAGATGCAGATGGTCAAGCCCACAATGTCCCACATCTTTACCCCTTTTGCCGTCAGAGGTGAGAGGGTAGTTGCTGTCTTGTTACATTTAATTAAAAATAATAATAATAATAGTACTATACACCATTGAGGGAGACAGCAAAACTGTCCTTGAAGTTAGCATTCCTGCCCCCAGTATGGCGTTTGGACATAAATATCAAGAAGTTAAAGCACTATTATACAAAACCCAACCTTTTGTTTTGGTGTAGCTACCATCTTCCACCCTTCCGTCTGGTGGATTAACTGAAAATGTTAATGATATTCTATATAACTCCTCTGTTATTAGAGACTTTGTAACCAACAAAATCGTAGACAAAGAAGCGTTTTAGTTCAGAAAATGTGCTTGAAAACCAATCATCCGACTACGTCGGTAACTGTGAGGTTAGAGGATATGTATGATTTATTTGTATAAAATCTGCTAGTACAATATTAATTGTTTGTACAATATTTATTGTACTATGTCTTCGTACTCGCTTACCTAGAATTTGAAAATATAGTTCTCTCGATTTGACAATAAGAATAATGCTAACATTTGATTACATTACACTAGCATAATATTATACACTACCTTTTCAGATGCATTCACAAACCCGTTGAACATGGGAATGGTAAATCCAGTATGCTTTACAAAACCACACAGTGAATATAAATAAATTCACCAGATAGGTAGATTAACTGAGACGAAGAATGTCCTTACGTCAAATTGTCTTAATGCTGAATCATGCATCATTTCAGCACATAAGACAAACAGCTGATGAACTTTTTATTACAAATTCTAAACAATATTCAGGTTGGTAAAAAGATCTATTGAAATGTGGCAATAACGCACTTGTTATGATTGTCAAAAATTGTTTACACTATAAATATATGTGACTGTTGCATCTGTGAGGTCCGTACAGTTTGCTTTCCATGGATGGGAGTACTGTGGAAAGACGGAGCACATAAACATTATATAATCATCTTGATTGGTGTAAAGGTTGTCAACACTGGAGTCATGACGATTGGTTTAGTTACAACTTTGGTGGAGTGATGAGAGTCACCTCACCCATTCTAAAGTGATTGTAGAATATGGGTCTGGAGGCAAGCAAGTGTTTGTGTGTTTGGAATTAAGCACAAAACTACACAATGGGCTTTCTGTGCTCTGCCCACCACGGGTATCAAAATCAGGTTTCTAGCGTTGTAAGTCCGCAGACATACCGCTGTGTTACAGGCAGGTGAACAATGTGATTGTAATTGTGATATGCCAGTTATAAAAGATTGTGGTTTGAGTGTCATAAAGTATGATGTATTTCGTTCACTGAGCATGTAACCGTTCTATTAAAAGTCTGTATGTCTAATCTTCCATAGATATCAAAGTATTTAAATAAACACTGATTAGGTCATTGTGTAGTTCCAGAAGTATAATGCTCCCTGCCACGAAGTGCTTGCAACTCTTGACACTCTGGTTTTAAATAAACAATGTCATTGGCTTGGAGTTGCC